TTGGCATAGGAATTAAAGAGAAAAGGACTCATTAAGCTTAGCATAAATATGCAAATAAATAATAAAAATATCTAATTAAATAAATAACATGCAATTAAATAAATAAACAAATAAATAATTAAATAAAAGCAAGCAACATTCAAAGTCTTCTAATGGATTTAAGCTTAACATGCAAAAAATAAATTAATTTAATTTACTTAGTATATAATATTTAACTATTAATTTTTCTAAATTGTCGTACTGATTAATTAAAATAATTTAACTTAAAATTAAATCAATGTTAGCATTTCGTTAACTACAAGGCTTAAACTGTAATTATATAAAATCATTAAATGAGTAAGCATAAGTTAAGTGTCCATAACCACTGGATGCCATGCATTATCCTCCCCAATACTATGACTACCACCACCAGCACCATAACCAATTCTACGTTCGCGGACTTGTTGATGGCCAAGTCCGAACGGTGTAGACTTTGGTATTTTATGTGGATAAAGCATTTCTCTGGCAACAGTGTTCAAAGTCGTTTTAGCGATTGGATTTGTTTTTGTTGTTGTTGTTTTAGTTATGGAGCCTGAAGTACCAGGAGCGCCAACAAATTGTTTGTGATTTTCAAAGAAGTCTATAATGGGATGATAATTGTAGTTGATACGCTTCGGACCACTGCCACCATTGATATCATCATGACCGTTATAATCGTAAATGGCATTCACATGGTAGATGGATGGATGTGCTGATGTCGTTGCTGTGGGCTGTTTATAGTAGTAAGTGGATTGTGTTGTCGGCGTAAACGCGGGCGATACATCTGGCGCGGATGGATAAAATCGTGACTTCGTTTTGCTGCTGCTGCTGCCAGAGTTTTGGTACGTATTGCCGCCACTGGGCGCATTGTTGGACGTGCTCGTTCCCTCCGTTTGGTGGGTAGTGGTGGCAATGCTATTGCTGCGTTTGTCTGGTATGGTTCCTGTAGCTGTTGGTATGGTACTAATGGTGTTGGTGGCGTCTGCGGTAATGATGGTGGTGCTGGTAGCTGTATGGGGCACAGAATAAAATTGATTCCGTTTTTGAGGCAAACGATTTCTATCATTGGCAATGATTGGTGTGCCAAAAATGTTTACCTCTTTATCCGCATGTTTTTCACTAGGTGATATGTCCAGATCAGCTAACGCATCACTGTCAACACGGCTGCTGTATACTTTATAGGGACGTCGGCGCGCCAAATGACTCAGTAAGTTCTTGGATGTTGTGGGTAATGAGGGCGCAGTGGAAGTATAATATGAAGATGATTTACCACGTTGTGCTTTGTAAGCGTAGTTCGTGTCATACTCATCACTTCCGGGAGGACTTAAATAGGAACCTATAGTAGAACCAGGTGGGGGAAAAACTTTTGTGCGTACTTTTTTGCTGCCCAAAAGCAACTCATTATCGTCGAAACTATCGGATGGTTTATGATGACTGAAACCATTACTGTACTGGTAACTCAAGTCGTCTTCATCATCTTCTTCGTTATAATCTAAGTCATCGTTAATTGTAGAATACGGTTCGTTATGGTAGGATGTTTGATATTCTTTGGCTTTTGACTGTTCTAAAGGGGGAAATTGTTGACGATAACCATCGATTTGGCAAGAGCAACAAGTGGGCACTTTGAATATATCAACATGCAGGCCACGTGTTTTGTCCCAACTTAGCAAACGATGGTAATTATAGACTTGCGCACAGTGGGAACGATAATTGTGTGCCAAGTAAGAGCAACTATCTTGTGGACTTCTGTTATATTTAAGAAGAAATTAGTTTTAATTTCATATCAAAATAGTTAATTAAATTTTTTTTTTAACTTACGTGCACTTTTCTAAGCGCAGTGTTTGTGTATGCTGCCCTGTATTTACTATGTACTTCCACTCGCCAGAAGCTGAACGAGCCTTTTGTGGTCGTGCATAGCGCACAATGCTTTGGCACATCCCACCGCCACTGTTGCTATCTTCACGCCTTCATGAAAATAAAAAAATAGTTCGAAAAGTTTAATTTCAGTTTCACTTAAGTGAAATCGTATTGTATAAAACGCATACCTAGCATACCTTTTCTTTGTGTAAGCAAAATCATCGAACTCATCTCCCAAGTCCGCATTGCTGTATTTGTCATGATACTCCGCCAATAGTGCGCTCATGGCATTTTTGTGACGCCGGATGCTGCCCATGATTTGTTCGCTAAGCAATTAAAATAGATAAAACCAGAAAGAAAAACAAATCGCACACGGCATGCATTAAAATTGTGTTAAAACAGTGTTAAATAGTAAGAATTATAAAAACAATACACCTTGTAAAAATGTAACACATAACCACCATGTAACCATAGACCATACAGGGTGCTCAAGCCAACCAACCAATTTGTACAAGAAAGAACCCAGCATTGCAACCGAAAGCAAGAACTCAACAAAAAATTCAACAGAAAGTATGAAAAATATTTCTTTTATTTTCCTTAAATTATTACGACTACAAACTAAAAAATTAAATTAATTTAAACTAGAAATTAAATAAATTAAACAGTGCGCAAGGCATAAAATTTTAATTAAAGTCTATAGGGAAAAAAAATCGCTTACAGCGGATAATCTTCGGTGTGTAGGCACATGGAAGCGGTAAAGCGTTCGCATTTTTTTTGCACAGCCGATGTGACTGCGTGGTGTGGTGGTGAGTTCGGACGCGTGCGCACCTGCACACGTTTGCGTTTGGCACCTTTTGCGTATGTTGGACGTAATTTGCTGCTACTAACACGATAACGTGGACCAGCGATGAGCTCCTCAGGATTCGGCAGTGGCTCTGCGTTTTCTTTGTTATCTTCCGACGTGCCAGTCAGTTTCAATTCTGTGCCATTCAAACTGGCAAAGGCGAGATCTTCGATTTCTTGATATGATAATGCAGATGCAGATTGCAATGATTCGCTTGTGGGCTTGGCAGTAGTAGTTGAGCTTGTGGGATGCACTGAGGTAGCAGTCACCACAGCCACTCCAGCGCTTTTATTAATGTTATTAACTGCTGAAGGCGATGCAGCCAGTGCAGTGGGAGCTGACGTTGTATGTGTGGTATGTCCAGCACGTTTTGCATAGAAATCTGCTTGGTTTGTTGCAAATGCAGTTGTGTTCAGTTTGATTGTACGCCCTGCTGCACCGCTTAACAAATCGTCTTCGTTCACCGACAATGGTACTGAACGTATTAGCTTATGCACAAAATCTGTGCCTTGTAGTGAACGTTTGTCACGTTTTGCATACCGTTTGGCTTTTATCGTTATTGTGTCTGCGTTATTTGAGAAACTATCTGTTGTTTCTTGTAACTCTTTATTTATTTCGATGGGATCCAAAACATCATCATGAAAGTCTTTAAGGAAATCTTCCAATTCATCGTCATCATTATTGTCATTTTTGGTTACTTGTATTGTGCCCACATCTTTCGTGGCGTCATCGTCTTCAACTTCCAGCGATGTCAAATCCAATTTACGTCTGTTTATTTCTTGCTGTTGTGGGACTGCTGGACTTTCATCTTCGTTAATTTTAATATATTTTCTTGCTGAATTGCGCACCAAGTTGGCTATGTCGTAAACAATTGGTATTAGCAATTTCTTATCATCGCCAAACATCATGCGTACCTGTTGGATTGATTGAATTGAAATTGGTTTTTATTTATGTTTTTATTATGTTTAGAAAATTTATTATAAAAGAAATTGCATTTTTAAAAATAATTGATTAGTTTTATTAATAAAAAACGTTAGAACTCAACTATGAAATATATAAAGTAAAGATGTTAAATCTATTGAACTTGCATCCATATTGTCAAATTTGTGCTTTGGTAAAAAATGTCTGAAGCTAACAATCCCAATATGATTTAAAACTTTCTAATGATCTAAAAGATGAAATTCTTAATTCATACTCGTATCGTTATTAATTTATATATAGATATACTGTAGAGCAGTTCTTTCTACATTGTAATGTCTCTAGCCGTTTTTCTTCTTGGAAAAAAGAAAACAATTTAATTGATTTGAGCATTCTTGTATGTTAAATAATTTACTATTTTAATGATGAGCGTCTAATGAATGGGGTCTCTAACCGAAACATGGCTATTAAAAATGTAAAAATATAAATTATTCTTACCCAAAAATTAATTCTCTCTTTGAAGAAGTATAAAGAAATAAGTTACATTATTATGATCCTGATTTTTTTTAAACAGGTCAATGATATGTGTGATTTACTTGAATAGCTTGCTTCTAATAGATAATCTTCATTATATATTATTAATATATTAATTATTAAATCATAGATAATCAGTATAGATGCTTATCGTCTGAATATAATACACTTAACATAGTAAATGAGACCGAGTACTCGGTCTTTCACTATAAGGAAAGACCAAATACAATCAAAAACAAAGCAAATATGAACATATCTGCATGCATTGAAACTCTAATTAGAATTATCTGAATAGTGGACACTCCGTCAGACTAGAAAACCAATAGTTTGAAATTGAACATCGGGTGGAATATGAAAACAAAAGTGGGAAAAATTTTCTTTATTACCAGCGTAAGATTCTTAAACCCAAGCAGAAGATTTTGACAATAAGTTGACAATATAGCAATCGACTGAACATATTTGTTGCAATAAATCCCATTTTCTTATAAAAAAATCCATTCCATATCCATTGTTACGATAATTTTAGATATAAGCACAGTATAATAAAAATACCATGTATAGGTATGCATGAACTGAGAAGATACATTGAAGGTCATTTGATACCTTTGAATTAGCAAAAAGAAACAATAGCGTTGGAATATAAGACAACACTATGGATATCATTGGATTTAATAGAAACCGATTTGCCACTTCCTAATCTGTCCTTAATATTTCACACCTATTTCATTATATTAAGAATATTTTGAGAAACTTAACATAGTCTCATTTATAGTATTATGACGGCTATATAAAAAGTTATGTGAATGAAAATTAGTGTAAAATACTATATTTTGAATCTAATTAGATATAAGAAATAAATTATTGAACTATTGGAGACAACAATATAAACACTTGAAAACATTACTAGAAGCTAGAGAAGTTAGGAAATAATCTCATAGATAAAGAAGATAATTTATCTGCAGTCCTGGACAAAAGTATAATGACCATAAAGATGGTTTTCGCTAACTGCTCATCTTGCAAAGTGCTTGATTATTACTTCAGTAAATTCGTGAACTGATCTTTTGTTCCTTCCCTATATAATCTAGATAATAGAGTCCACAAAATCTTCGTGATTAATCCATAATTTGTTTATTAAAAATAATGAATCTTCAAAGAATTCCGCCGGTACCAATAGATGCTATATATATATAAATATAGTTTCCTCTTTTGGAGATACAGAGTGCTAACTCCACTGCTGTCATAGCACAGGGTTGGACACTCCACAGCGAATGTCATTAATTAAATGGAGTATCCAACAAGATACTCCCGTTAATGGAGTCAACCTTTAGTAGTCAAGAAGCTGCAGACCCTGACCCTCATAGTTCCAGATCTACTTCTCCTGCCGGTTGCCGCAAGTGAAGCTCTCTGTCTAGAATTTATACTCCATACAGTATCGACTCGTAACTATTGAATTTTAGTCGCTTATTATGACAGTCATATCTCGGGAAAATTTTAATCACAACTTATAGTTATTTAAAGTTCACGAAAGATAACTTAAAAAATTCTTTTCCATATTTCCTTCCCCTTTAAAAGGAACGATGCTTCAAAGATTTCGTAATAAGAGATTTTGCATACAGAGTGGTTTCAAAAATTATTTAAAAATACGATTCCATTAAACAAAAAGGAAAAGGAAACTAGGAAAAGATGCCTTAGTTAAAAACGTTTGTCTTTTTATTTGTAGCAGGTTTGCTGAAGACACGAATTAATATCTCATCACATAAATAATCAGGAAATTTTACTAATTCCAACTTTTCAACTTTAACCCATTACTGCCAGATACCCAGATGTCTAAAAAAAAAGCCGGTTGCAGATTTGAACTTAAACACTTCACATTTATTTAAGACTAGCAATTTTTATGAAAAATTGAAATTCAGTGATGCACTTGCAATTTATATTACATATATCACTGGGAATATGCATCGGTTCCCAAATTATGGACATCGATAAAAGCTGATATCTACCCACCTTTCTAAATATAATATTCTTCAAATTAATTTAAAGGATATACATTTTCCACAGTTTTTAATCTATTTTAGTCTTTTTACTATAATTCAAAATCAAACATATTTCATGGAATTGAGTTGATCTAATGTTTTAAAGTATCTACATTCATTACTCATTTAATACAAAAGCATTGACTTTATGCACATTTTCTTCATTTCTACTTACCTGCTCCAGTTTTAATTCTTGACCTTGTTTTGCATTAATTTGTGCTGATATGAGTGCAGATAAAGCCAGTCGCTGTGGTGAGGACAGGACACGTAATATGGGCATTACTTCTACAAACTTTTGTCTTAAACTAGCGTTCGTTAATGCTTTTGATAAAGCCATTTTCAATATTTTTTCACGCCAATCAAACAGATTCACTTGATTATCCTCATCATCGAAATCATCAAAGGTAATATAATTACTTTGCACCTTTTTATCACTCGTTGTTGTCATCTCGTTGCTAGCATTTTCATTATTATAATTCCAGTCGATTTCTTTTAAGTCGGAAAAATCAAAATCCATAACATCATCTTCAGATGCTGTCACCAAGTAAAGAACGCAATACAAAACTGCCCAAAATAGGCAACGTATGGACTGACCAGCTTTCATCTTCGCTGCGAAATCTGCAAAAAGAAAGCAAATCATTAGACGGCCCGCTTAAACAAGATTTACAGATATTTATTCTAAGTGTAAAACCAGCGCCAAAACAGACGCACAGTCGCAAAAATAAAAAAAAAAAACTCGAAAAACATGTCATTTGTGAAATGCTTTGAATAAAAAAGTGCCTGAAGAAAGCAACTTATCGCTTTTTAATTGTCATTAAGTACATTTTACTTTCTTACATTCTGTGCACTTCATTATTTGTCAAGATTAAAACAAAAGTAAAAGTCATTCGAATAATAACATTTTAATGTGCCCGTTTAAGTCAACTTCAAACTCAACTTAAAGACTCCAAATACCCAACAAACCGTGAAAATGAAGTAAAGTTACTCAAAACGAATACTTCGAAGAAAAAATAGAAGAAAATCGTTATAGGAAACAATTTTATAATGACTGATCTCCGCAAGACCTTGTGTCTTGTGCACTTCAGGAGACAAGGTAAACAAACTTTTACCGCACGAAGATATGGAGAAAATAAAATTAACTAAGTTTATTAGACATGTTTATGCAATAAAAATCGCCCAGTTTGCTACTGTGAAGTCATGAGCTCCCAGTATCTTCAACAAAAAATTTATAAACTATTTTTATTACGTTAGTTATTATTTATTATGGCATACGTTTTACATGGCGACTAACGACGTCATAAAACTGAAACAATAACTTCATTGAAGGATCGACTAGGATAGTCGTATTCCAAAAGAAAAAAACTATTTAATAGGAAATATTTAAAGAAATTGTTTGGTTACAACATAAATATTTTTATTACATCACATAAAGGAGATAATAAAAATGTTCGAGTTTTATTAAAAATTTCATTACCAAGGAATATATATATGCCTATAGATATTAAATGATTGAAATATCACAATAGCATTTAAATACTTATGAAAGTGATCGTATCTGGCATTGTTATTATGAACAGCCTAGATATACATATATACAGGGTTAAGCCATTCAAGAGTTACCAACTACACACAGGTATATCTGTCAAACTGATATTGCCAATGACAGCTGTTTATATTGTTTATATATTGTTTATAAAACAAAAGTTATTCGAAATAGAATTCAAATGTAATAGTATGATTGCTTTATATTTGGCTGGAAAATCACAACTAGTTATTATTCATGAGCTCAAACACCTCAAAGTAAATAAAATATTTACGTATCGTACGATAAATCGTTATAATAGAAAAGACAGAGATGCTAAACACTATATGGTAATATATGGTGGACAAACGAAAAACAACGATATCATCTGAAATGGTTCGGAAAGTGAGCGCTCGACGTAAACATATTCCACGTCGTAATGGTAATCAAATATCCAAAGAACTACAGAAAATATCGCAGCGAAGTATACGAAGCATATTTTAAAATAAGCTCAAGGTAAAGCCTTACAAATTCCAAAAAAACACAAACTTGTAGATCCAACCAACAAAAAGTTAGATTCGAAAGAGCAAAGGAATTGTTACGCTTACACTGAACACACTGCACAGAATTTGAGGCTACGAATGGTCGCCCGAAGTAATTTTCCATCTCAAGTAATGGTATGGGCAGCTGTGACCTCCGATGAATGCTCTACAATAATCTTTATCGAGCTTGGTGTCAAAGTTAATGTCACTTATTATCGCAAAATGTTTTTGAAGTTGCTTTTTAGCTGTGGGAATGCAGACATTTCGTTGGCATGGTCGTAGGATCATAGACGTTCTAACAAGACTCGGCAAGAATGATTAAAAAATCATGGTCCACACTTCATTTTGTCCTTACAATGGCTTTCGAATTTGCCAGATGCAAATTCGATAGAATATTCTATCTGGGCCATTTTGGAGTGTAAGATGAAAACTAAAAATATGAATGAGACAGTATAGATACGTTGTAGAAAACCATTTATCAGGAATAGGTCAAAATACCAGAATATCACATTCGTGAAGCATGTGATTCATTTTTTAACCGTTTGAAGACCAAAGTTAATGCAAAAGTTGGTCAAATCGAACTAGAGTGAATGGATTCTGGAATTTTGATTATTTCCACAAATTTTTGTAATTTGAAACAATAAAAAATAGTTTCATACAGAAAAGATATGGTTGCTTGAATAGATAACATTTCAATCGTTTAACCCTGTATGTAAATAAATGATGTATGTATAAATGAAATAATTTTAGAAAAGAGGTTTTTTGTGCCAAGAAATCATAAAACTAAAAAAATAGCTTTCTTTAGGTAAGAAATTTGTAAGCAACAGATTTTTTGAGATAAAAACGAATAAAAAAATTTATAAAAATTAGAAGAATCTTTCAAAACAATATATGTATATATTATATAATTTATAAAAGGTAAATAAAAAGTAACAATTAATAATAAAAAACTAAATAAAAATTAAATAATATAATAAAAAATAATACTTTCGAAAATACAATGAATATGTTTAATAATTAATATATGGGTTTTCAGACCGTAGGGAGTTAAGGAGTGCGTAAGAGAAACGAAGCTCTTATGTAATCCAACCCTTGACTTACTTCGGTCGGTATTAATCGGATAGTCTACAGAAAATCATACGACCTAGCCTGTATATCAGTTACAGATGTATAAAAATACTACGATAAGATATATAATAAAGACTCCCTGGTGTGTTAATAAAATTGAGATTTACAGAGGTTTAAGAGAAGAAGTCGTATATAGTAACCAATCTTTGAATATACTAAAGGCTCACAGAAACTTCTTTAAAGAAGAAATATTTGCCTACTTACGAAACCTCATTATATGATACTAAAACAATAGTAAAACATAATATTACTGAAATGTCAACGACATCGGTGCTACTCCAGAAGCAATCTCACAAATAACGAATTATAAGTGCTAGAGGACAATAATTGCTTAAGCGGACCTAAAGAGAACTTGAGCGAAAGCCAGCTAGTGACGGAATTAACAATGTTTAGATGACGTGATAGCTGTCTTGCGAAGTTCTATAAGCTTCATCTGTGTCTTAGCTGCCATTGTGGCACTAAGTTCAGTTGCAAGCAGTTCTTATGGTCATGCGTAACATTGATGCTTGTATGTCAGTTGATGTAGTATTGAACTATAGATGCGGGTATTGAGATTGTTGAGTATTGTATGAGACTTTTAGTCAGTGGTTCGAGACATGTCTAATTGATGTTGCTGAATGAACCTGTAGGCTATCCATGCGCCATTTGTTTAATATTCTCTAATATTTGACGATTTTGTCGTATTTGGGTAGACAGATATAGATCAGATACTTTATGTCACAATAGTTCTCAAAGGATGCAGTGCCGTGATATTTCTTAATGTATTTATTAACTTTTAAGGAAGAATTAAACATTCATTTATATATTGCAAATTATTTTATGGTTATGTTTTTTTATTCAATTAAAAACGAGATATAAAGTAAAAACATAAAAATTGTAGTTAAACTTCAACAACATATTTTTCTTATATTTTTTTCTTACTTCAGGGATTATTGTTGCTGTGATTGTAAAATTTTTTAATAAATCTGTTTTTTTTTCTGAACTGGTCATTTATCAAAATTGCAAGATGATGTCAAGGCTCCACCTAAACCACAACAAAACACAACTTGTTAGTTGGATGAGTTACATAGGATGTCTCCAATGCTATATTATCTGCCAATACCTATTTACAAAAATATACATTTAAAGCCTTAAAACATCGGTACTTGAACATCTTCATTGAAATAAGATAAAGCGCGGCAAATTGATCATTTTTTAAGAAAATGAAAATATTTAGACACATGAAATAATGGAAAATGTCACATATGCTATGGAGTCAAATTTGTATTCAAAACGGTGCAAAGAAAGTTAAACGAAAGTGAATTCCTGCCAAAAGTTCAGATGCTTCGCTATAACATATGAAGGCATCTGCGGATGAGCAAAGACAAATACTAGTATCTACAAAAACCGTGTGCAACCTGAGCGTGACCTTAGAAAAGTGAAATTGTCTAAAAACTTCTTTAACTGATTTTGTATTTATTATTTACTCGCTTTTATTTTTTTAATGTTTTTTTCGTGTTTTAATCGCTACTTTATTGAAGCAACAACTCAGCTGACGATGCCTAAGCTGCTACTTTTGCCCGCAACATTTTTGGCAAGATTGTCTAAGACGAGTCGTCTAACTGCTGATGATGCTGACGATGCACCTTGGGATTTGTTGCCTCATCACTGACATTGCCGTTGCCATTGCCATTGGCTTTGATGTTATCTTCTATGTCTAAGGTTGAGGAAAAAAATGATTACACAGAAACTTGCTAACAAAGTTGCGATTTAACAACGTGCTCATCGTTAGTGTCTAAAGCGTTTTTATATTTGAATAAATAAACACTTAATTCGTTTTCTTTTATTGCCATCAAATTATGGCAGACACCTGCGCCTATAATTGGCTTCTGTATAAGTATTTTTCCAATAATGTGCAGTTACAGGATTTACAAAAATAAATTCAAAGTTTTATAGTTTATTGAACTTCGACATTTTATTCGCTAAAATATTGCACATTAATCGCACCCAAAGACAAATATTAATAGAGTTCACAATAAAGAGAAAATCTTCACAAGATTTTCCAATAAAAAGTTTTAAGAAAATAAATCAATTTTAACATTTCGTAATGGCTGAGTATCATGCTACTACCGCTTCGGATATGAAAAGGGAAAGAGACATTAATTCTGTTTTATATAAAAGTGCCTAACCTCTAATAATGGGATTTCCTCCAAAATAAATTAATCCGTGAAATAAGTAAAATAAATTTTGAAGCCGTCAAAGGATTCAACATTGTCGTTCAGAGTTATATCTGTAAAAACATATATTTAATGTACGATGGAGAAAATAGTAAAATGAAGTTCCGCTAAACTCATATTTGATCTTCAAAAATTGAAATAAAACTAATGTAGTTTTCAACCAGCTCTGGTTGAAAGATCGTTATTAAGAACAAGA